TTTTTATTACAAAGCACAAAAAAATAAAGCTCATGGAATTTTTGTACCGGGTTAACAAGAAAATAAGCCATACTTAACAATGTTTTCCAATATGCATTGTCTCATTGTCTGAAAGCTCTATCAATCCTATATATTTTTTTATATTTGGAGTAAAATAACTTCATTTTTTCAGTTTCTTTTTTTTTTGTGTGTGTGGTCATAAACTGGTTCTTGTTTTGGCACAGCGCCCAAAAAGAAATAAGACATAGTGCAACAGCTGACTACCCCTGCTTGGGGATCTGGACTAGTGTGTTTTTACCCCCTTCTCAGCTAATTTTGTGATGCTAGATTCCAGAGGACTGTCTTCTCAGAAATCTAGAGCTAATAATTGTACGTGCATTTGCATACAGGCTTTTGAAGGAGCGTGGGCTGCTGCCTGCAACCAGGGGCCATCTACAGTTCTCGTACCACCAGAACTAGAGTTCCTTGTTGGGCCAATCTCGTTCTCTGGGCCTTACTGCAAACCGAATATTGTCTTTCAGGTAATCATGCTCTTAATCCCAAATGATGTCCCAAATGATAAGATACTCAAAAGGGCTTTCTCAACATAGCTTGAATTGACCAACAGAAAGTAGGACAGGACTGTATCTCATCTAATTTGAGATGCACACCAATGGAAGAATAAGTTCATTGAGAAATGTTGTTTAATGTTGTACTCACTTTGCAGCTGGAAGGAACAATCCTAGCTCCAACCAGTGCTAAATCCTGGGGTTCTGGCTTGCTCCAGTGGCTCGAGTTCACCAAATTAAGTGGAATAGTTATTCAAGGGAGTGGCATTATAAATGGCAGAGGGCAACAATGGTGGACCTACTCAGACCCAGAGGATGAGGATGATGATGACACGGTGAGAGCTGGCCACCAAGTGTATAATTTTCTATTAAGTACTCAAAAGAAAAGTTGGTCATGTTAAGTGCTTACTTTGGATGCTTTCCTGCAGTACGATGTGGAGTTTGAAAGAATGCCGCAGATTAAACCAACAGTAAGAATCACTATCTTTATGCATACTATTACCATACCATACTGAAATGAAGTAATGACAACTCTGATTTCATACCTGATGCAGGCATTGAGGTTTTATGGTAGTTTCAACGTTGTAGTAGCTGGTATCACTGTTGTCAACAGCTCACAGTGCCATCTTAAGTTTGACAACTGTCAAGGAGTGATGGTCCATGACGTGACTATATCCTCCCCTGAGAACAGCCTCAACACTGACGGAATACACCTGCAGAACTCCAAAGATGTCAGCATTCATCATACAAACCTGGCTTGTGGTAATTCCTTAATAATTACTGTATATCTCAATTCAAGAGGCATCTGGGTTATATTCATGAAACTCAAAAGTTTTGCAAAGCTTTACAACAAAGACACATTTCCATCAAGAACACTAAATAAAAAAAGACATTATACAACAACAACAACAACAAAGCCTTTAAGTCCCAAAACAAGTTGGGGTAGGCTAGAGTTGAAACCCAGCAGAAGCAATCAAGGTTCTAAAAAAAAAGACATTATCTAAAAAAAAAGAATTACATAGGGTCAACTGAAAGCCTGCACCTCAGTTCTGTTACGCCTGTATACTCTGCACATCGAAGGACATGTTTCAGAATTAAGAGTAAACTGAAAAACTGCTGTAAAGTAGCATAACATCCTTTTGTCCTATTCGATGCAGGTGACGATTGCATCTCCATCCAGACAGGATGCAGCAACATAAATATACACAACGTGAATTGTGGACCAGGCCATGGAATCAGCATAGGTGGACTAGGCCGAGACAACACAAAAGCATGTGTATCAAATGTTACAGTAAGAGATGTCAACATGTTCAGAACCATGAATGGTGTCAGAATCAAGACCTGGCAGGTAAGCTTGAGAACATAAGTACAAACAAAATTCTAATTCAACATCAGACATTAGTACATAATAACATCACAAAGGAAAAAACTGCAAAAGGAAAGAATATGTATATGTCATCATTTGATATCTATACAAGCAATAACCTTGGAAAGTTCCAAGAAGAAAAATGATGATGCCAGCCAAAACAACAATTCCTACTGAACTAAACAAAGTGAACTCATTTCTCGCAGGGTGGTGTAGGATTGGTTCAAGACATACGGTTTTCAAATATACAAGTCTCAGAGGTTCAAACACCCATTATCATAGATCAGTTTTATTGTGACAGAAGCACTTGCAGAAATCAAACATCAGCAGTGGCAGTATCAGGAGTTCAATATGAGAATATCAGAGGAACATTTACAATCAAGCCTGTCCATTTTGCATGCAGTGACAGCTTACCTTGTTCAGGAATCTCTCTTACCGGTGTGCAACTCAGACCAGTGCAAGTACCCCACTACCACCTGAATAACCCATTCTGCTGGCAAGCTTTTGGGGAGCTCTACACTCCAACCGTCCCTCCCATAGCTTGCTTGCAGATTGGAAAACCTGCTGGAAACAACTTACAGTCATATGACGACATATGCTGAAAGTGCCTTTGTCTGTTGATTGGTGCTTATACATGAGTGGTCGTTGTGATACATGCGACCCCATTTGCACCATTGCTTGTTGATGTGCACATATACAGTTATTTTGAGGTCATCTTATTACAACATTTTAACCTTTTCATCAAAGTAACACAAATATATTCATCCGAAATGGTCATACAGCAAGAGTATGTACTTGAGATCTCCAAAAATGAGTAAACACAATGACAAAGATTGTTTGTTTAAATAAGTGTAAACAGGGCTACGGCAAAGGGCCCAAAGATAATTGATAAACAACAGTAACCCGGGCCGTTCATCTACAATATTGATACCTAATCCTGAAGAATGAGATTAATAATTAGAAGTCGATGCCTAAGGATATATAAAAAGCAATAGTTTACCAACCAGAAAAATCTCTTGGATCAAATACGAAAAGAAAATGATTGCTCGAAAAAAACTAGACAATGGTTCGAAAAATGAGTAAGCGTAATATAGCCAGTTTCTAGTTAACAAATATGACATATTGCAATGCACAAATATGATATACCATAGAGATAACACTTAGCAAAGGGGGTATTGATGGGTTTAGCTTAAATAATTATGAAAAATGGCGATAAAAATGTTCTATAAATATGCACAAAGAGGAAATAACTAATCAAAAGAACATGGTATTTAGAAATTAATTCCGATGTAGACAACATGCATATGCATACATATTCTTTGCTTTGTTTTCTAGAACCTCAGCTAAATAATAAAGCAAATCAGTGTAAAAACAGAAAATATGTAAGGTCCTGCAATGGGTTACTAACTTCACCATTTGTTGACAGATAATGAGGAAAAAGGAAACTCAAAGCAGGATTTAGAATTGCAAAAGATATTATACCAGTTAAACAAAAGATAAAACATAGCATATCTCTTTGCCTTTCTTAATTTTTTCAACTAAACATGGTATATCCTATGTGTCACCAGCTGTCTATTATCAGGAAAAAAGTATGAATTGGTGGAGAATTTTCCTTCTACCATACATATTATTGTCTCCACTCGCACTGGTTGCCAAAATTCTTGAAGCTCTAATCCATCAATCAATATTTAAAACTTAGATAATCGTAGGTCTAGTGCAATGAAAGCGTTCCTATTGATTAATCTAAGGTCACAATTGTTAGGTGGACGTTCTATATACCTTAAACACTGATGGTCATAATTCAAAAGTTTTGGGAAGCTGGTGATGACCATTTGTTAATGGACTATGTCATCTGCAGTCCATACTGCCCTTGCATGCTTGTCCAACAGTCAACCAGCCAACAAAATAGATGTGGCGTGTGAAGATTATATCATATACATAAAAAAGTGTAACTGATCAGGTACAAAAATGCAAGCTCTCACCATGAACTGGAACATGAAAATAAACCACATCCATTAACTATGATTCTGGGATACTAGCAATGCCAGTTTCACAAAGAACATCACCCGTTGTTTGCATCCCATTAATCAAACAGATGATAAATCTTTATATGTTGATCCCAGGGAGGGGAAGGGGTGATTTACCCTAGGTATGCCGCCAGTAAAAGATGCAGCCTAACTAATCCAGTCACTGATACATGATGCATCGACATGCTGTAAGGGCCAGCTACAGATTTATCTCATTGTTAGAAATTTTGCATGTCTCTGTGATACGTTTATTAAGAAATTTGGGCGACAAAGAACTCATAATATTTTCAAAAATGGATAAAACAGGCAGTACAATATCTCCTTATCCTAAGAGTCACAAATATGAGGAGAAAATACATTATAGCATTATAGACATAAGCATCAAACATAAAACCTCATTTGTAACTAATAAATTTGCTGTCTCTAGTTCCAGTGATATTGCAAGAAATTAGACATAGCAAGACTGCCAACACCGCAACTAAAGCATCGTGTGTTGTACTGGTATAACCAGCTGTCCCAGAAACTCTTCAGTCCAATGCTCAGCTAGACGATGTGTTCCAGTTGCAAAATTTCCGAGTCTGTCCATAAAACAGAAAACATTTTTTTCTTAGAACCACCAAATACAGCATGAGAAGTCAACAAAGTAGAAATGTATTGAGATGAAACAAACCTGCTACAGCCATCATCTTGAAAAACTAAAGACATCTTTTGCACCCTCATAGTTCTCAACAGTTTCAGGACTCGCTAGTCCTGTTCTTTCCTCGTATTTCTTCTCTAGGTTCTTTTTTTTTTTGTAAAAAAAGGGAAGTAATAAGGAAAGAGCTATGAGTTAATGTACCAAAATTAGTAAAATAAATATTAATTTATGGTTATACGAAAGGCAACCTAAGCTGGTGTCATTAAAATGGATGAGGTATACATGCAGACTAGGAATCTTCTGAGTATTAAGGTTGAAGGTTCAAAATCATGCATTTTACAGCCAAGGGGAATGATATATGCTAAAAATGTAAATTAGAACCCACAATGATAACAGCTAATACAAAAAAAAAAAAAATCAACTTAAATGCACTCAAGACCACTGCTAACCTTCAGTTCCTCACATACGGTTTCAAGAACATCCATTGTCATTCTATCAAAGAAAAGAATCCCCTGCAAATCCCAAACAATTATTAAGAATCATGGTGATGAGCCACCGGTCAAATATGCATAGCTTGATGACATATTCCCTTCATTTTGTTAATCTGAAACTACAGTATTGGCCCTTGCATGCAAGTTACAACTTAAACCACTAACTTCTATCATATTAGATGTTAAAAAGCAACAGAAAAAATAAATTGCAGTAATATCAATTTTGCATGCCCAATCTAGGCTTCTTTTATGTAATGATGGTTAAATCTGAAAGTACCTGACAGGAAAGAACTCTAGGATGACTTAAATTTGCATCCAGAGGAAGTATGCGACAGCAAATGAAAATTAGCATATACGAATATTACATGGATGTATTTCTTAAAAAATGAGTAGATTGATTATGATATTAAGTGTACTTCCATAGTTCCATTTGGCGTCAACTAAAAGTCCATTGAGTTCTCATTTAAACAGAACGAACATATCCCTCCATCATGGCAATCAACAAATCATGAATCATCAGTTTGCTGTGGACCATTGCATATGCTAGAGACAAAAGGATACCCTAACTCAAAGAGTTGCTGGAAAACCTATGTGCAAGGACCTGACAATTCGCTCAGATAATGGTTAAACACATACCAGCAAATGATCAAACTCATGCTGGAAAACTCTTGCAGGTAGACCAGATAATTTTACTTTGATCTTTGCCCCTGTAACATCTTGAGCTTCAATTTTCACACTTTCTGGTCTCTGCAAGAGCACAATGGCCACAAAGTTAGCTTTGTTTATCAATTGTGCACCCTTCGGTTGGCATATATACGGAGGCTGACAATTGGAAATTGGAATACAAACTTCCAAAATCACATACTAAGTTGGCATGTTAAAACCATTAACATGTGGAAAAATAAATCATAAATGTGACAAATTACACAAAATATTATTATAGTAAGCATCACACTAAGGTCAGATAAAGGACAGCTAAGGTCTTCTACAATGTATAAAGGAATTGGTATGGCAAACTATTCTTACCAACACATTGCCATATATTCCAGGAAATGATAAGCACCCTTCTTCAAACACAAGCAATCGTTTCGCGGACTTGTATACCACTGGGTTGACAAGAACAATCTCCTCTCCTTCGCCCTTCACCCCAGCAGGATTGAATACCATAAGCTGCACATTGACTCCAACTTGTGGTGCTGAGAGACCAATGCCATCGGTCCTGTACAGAAACCAACTATTTAACTGAACCAGTACAGCTTCTAATAAATCCGGCATAGTTATATCTCAAATCACCACAGGCAACCCTTATTATTGGATGTTTTGCCCATATATGAAATATGCCCTATGCAATCGGCTTTTCATTAAATCAAGTTCTCATCAACGTAGAAACTACCCAGACAAATTTGCATTTCCTTACCCTCAATTCTCTAGTCATATGGGAATTCAGTGAAAATAAGCACTAGCTGAGTAAATTATAGCATGCATCCAATGAAAGCATAGGCACTCATATTTCTCTGAAACAGTAGAAAATCGAATTGGTGCAACACATTTTGACCATGAAAACAGAAGTGGTGCAAGGCTCAGAATCCGCACACTCACTTGTACATAACGTCGAACATCTCATCGGCCAGGGCGCGGAGGTTGGCATCGAACGTGCTGATGCGCTTGTTGCGCGCGCGCAGGACGGGGTCGGGGTATTTGACTACCTCGAGTGGCGATTCGAACCGGAGGTCAGAAGCTACACACAGTGAACAGAACATCAACGAAGTAGTAATAACTAATAAGCCGAAAGAGAGCGAACGCGAAGTTGTCTAGAAGCCGGAGGGCTTGAGGTGAGGGGGAGAAGGCGGCGGCGGCTAACCCGTGGCGAAGTCTTCGGCGAGCGGGTCGGCGGCGGTGGAGGAGCCTAAGCCGCGGCGTGCGCGGGCAGCGAGGGGCATGGCCGGGCCGGCGCGGCGCAGGGGTTGGGGCAGCGCTCCGGAGCGCGCGGCCAGGAGCGGGCGAGAGGAGGCCACGAAGACGCGGAGGCGCGGGCAGAGGCCAGCGGCCATGGGAGCGGCGCCTTCTCCCTTCGGCTTCGATTTTTTTTGGGCGTCCAGCAAGAGGCGGTGATGAGCAGTGGCCGGAGCCGGAGGGTGGGCTGAGCGAGGACGCCGTGAGAGGTAAGACGCGCTCGTGGATCGTGCTCGTGGCTCGCGCCTGACACCTCTGACTGCCGAACGATCGTCATCGGACGGCCACCGACTAGCCCCAGTGTGACTGAGCAAGTGGGGCCCGGTCCCAGACTCCCAGTCGTTCGTCCTCGTCAGGCCAAAGTCCATTTTCGTTTCGTTGGGCTCGACAGATTTATAAAGGCTAATAAGATGTGAAACATGGCCAGGCCCAATATACTCCCGGAGGTGAATTTTCGTTTGTTGGGCTCTACAAATTTACAGCCCAATTAGGACACATCTCCAATTCTCCATGTTCAGTTCAACCGAACAGCTCATCGCAGTCGCAGGTGATAGATAGTAGGAAAATGCTCTCAGGACGTCCGGACGGTTGTGTTCGTGGGTCGCTGCACCAGCCCACTTGCCTCTAACTTTATCTCACTGTTTGTATTCTCTAGAAGACTCTCTACCGCAGCCTCAATCGTGCTCCATCGTGATTGCGCTCCAGAAGCAAAGCTCCATCATCGGACTCGAAGAAACGGAGGGCTGCTCTGCTCCGACCGCCGCCCCATCGCGCCCCTCTAGTCCGGTCCGCAGCTGTACCCCCTGCCCGGTCTGCTCCAAGGCCGCAGTGTCCCTTAGCTGGTCCGCGACGACGCGAAGCTCCATCCCTGAGCTCGAAGAAACGGAGGGCGGCTCCGCTCCGACTACTGCGCTCGACGGCTATCGCGCCCCCCTGGCCGGTCGCTCCACGCCACCAGTGAGCTCTACACCGGTGAACTCCACATGCCGACGAGCCTCCATTCCCATGCAGCAAGGAGATGTTGCGCTGAAAGTGCATATTGCAAACATATATTTCAGGTGTTTCAGAGGTATGTTTCATGTGTTTCGTACCGATGTTGCAAAAGTAGATCGAGATATTGCACATGTTGCAATGGCTATGCACGTGTGTTTCAAGTGTATGTTCCAAATGTTTAATCTGTATCAGACGTATGTTGCAAGTGTTTTCATCTGAATGTTGCATATACATGCATGTTGCAAACGTATGTTTCAAGTATTTCATACGTCTGTTGCAAGTGTTTTCATCTGGATGTTGTATACATTTTGCAATGGTTTTCAAGTGTTTTAGGCGTATTCCTAAGTGCTTTAGACGCTTGTTTCAAATGTTTCATATGTCTTCTTTCGAATGTTGCAATTGTTGTATCTGGATATTTTAAAAGTAGATCGAGTGTTGCATATGGGATGCGCATGGGAAGCGGCTGGTGGCGCGGGCGACGTCCGGGGCGGCGTGGGCGACGTCCGGGGTAGTGCGGGCCTGCTGCTGGGCCGCTTGCTCGTGAGCCCGACGTGCTAGGGTGCTCACTCGCTCGCTATGTAGGTGTCCGTACACCGACGCCTCGGATAGGGCGCTAGCAAGTCCGTACATAGTAACAGTACTCCCTGCGTCCTCAAAAAGATGCAATTTTAAGTTTTGATTGAATCAATTTTTTAAATTTAACTAAATTTATAAAAAAATAAAATTGATATTTATGTTATTTAATAATTTTAATATGAAAATATATCTCATAACTAATTTAATGTACACCTAATATTAGAGAGCAAAAGAAAATATTTTTTATCCACCTCTCCCCTAACTAATTTTGTGAATGCGGTAACTAGAGATGTCAACGGTGAATTCTCCGTCGGGTTAGGTTCCCATCCCTGTCCCCGTCCCCACGAATGTCATCGGGGATAAATTCTTCCCCATCCTCGTCCCATCCAAGAACTAATCCCCGCTTAAACATTAATTCTTACAAATTCAATAATAGATAAAAAAAACAAGCACATTAGAAAATCTGGTTCCCCATTGCAGATAGAAGGAAGGACTAGCTACGGCTCTGCCTAGCCATGTGTCGACAGATGCAAGTTCGTATGATCATGGACAATAGTTACAAGCCAACTGGTGTACATGTGCATCTATGAGCGTGATCCAAACAAACTCGACATCAAAGTTATACGGGTTAAATTAAATTTATGGCATGTTCATCTGACTACAGTCATTTAGAACACTTGACCATGTTTCAAACTTTCCATCGTTCAAAAGTTAATTAATCTATATTTATATTTATGTATGTATTATCTATAAAGCATAGAACATTTTATTGGTGTGTCATTCACTAACATGCTTATATAAGTTAGAGCAACGTATCTAGCTAGCCACGATGCATTGCAGATCCCAAAATGAATATGGTCATTAGATAAACCTCTAATCCTCTCATGCTCATACGAGTTAGAGTGGCTAGCGTACGTCGAGGCACAGTTGGGAGTCCAATTCCAAGACGAATTAGAACACATGACATGATTATTAACAAATCTAGGTGACTGACTACATAGTATGTACATTTCGTTGCAACGCACGGACTCGCTTGTTAGTAATATTTATTTGGTAATATAAATGTTAAGTAATTTTCATATAAATTTGGTTAAATTTAAAATAGTTTGACTTCTCAATAAGTAAGAACTCTATTTTTTTATGAATGGAGTATTTCATATAAATTTGATTAAATTTAAAATAGTTTGATTTCTCGGTAAACAAGAACTCCACTTTTTTTAAGGACGGAGGCAGTAGCGTTCATCCCTTTTTGTGGAAAATGCTAATCGGCTTTCTTCCACCAAGAAAACGTGCACTACGTACGCCGATATATAGCACAGGGGCCCAGCCAGGCAGCCACGTTCAGACTTTCTTCTTCAAGTCACAATCAGCACTCTCGGCGATCGATCATTCATTTCCTCTGGAACTGGAACCGTAGGGAGTCCACGGATCGGGCTGTTTGCCAGTGGCCTAACCAATATTATTACCAGTTCCATGAGTAGAGTAGGCGAGGCGGAATCACTTCCATTTTCAGGAAGCTATGGCACGAGGCAAGAGTAGGATGCTGCGACGTGATCAAGCGATGCGAGGGTAACACTGGCTGGGAGAGCTACGCGTGTATGTGTATGGACTTGTGCACGATAAACCGATTCGTGTCGTCGCGCGGGCACCGAAAGCGAGAGCCCACGGCGCACCACGCTCGGATGAATGTGATCAGTGATCACTGATGTGCTTGCTTGCTCCACCTGCACGGTGCACGCGATCGATGAGATTCCCAGCTAGTGTTGAGTGTTCTTCTTTCGCTGGTAAGCTGCGAGAAGGGAAATGATCGCTTAGTTAGTTACCTCCTTCCGAGTTCCGAGCTGGTAGGCTTGTACCAGTTGTACGCGTGCGTGCTTCCGGGTATGGCAGCGCCTCAAACGAAAGCAGCCTTTCTCTTTACCTAAACCAGGCAATAATGCAAGGTTCCAGGCTACAAGCCTAAACTAACACGCTGCTCTTCGGTTGGTAATCGATATGGAAATGGTATAGTTTCTTCAAGCGTTCGGGTTGACCACCACCTGTTGCTGATCCTTCGATTTAACGTTTGGAGAGATAAAACCATTATCTTGTGTGTGCGACGACGCTCGATCGACATCTATGACTCAAAGGCTGTAAATCCTCGAACACACAAGCCGAACAGACAGCCGAGTGAAACTCCGGTTGTACAATAATCAGAGTGCAGTAACGAGGATCCAAGCTGTCATCGTCGTGGCCAGTTCTCTCTTCAGGTCCGGTGGTGTCCCCGATGAAGACATTCCCTATGTCCTATACAGTGGAAGTGCATGTTTATGTTTTTCTGGACCGTTGTGTTTATTTGTTTGGGAACGCCTCTGTTTGAGTCACTGTGATGACTCTTTAGTCGTAGTTTTAAACCATGTTTAGATCCATTTGCCATGACTAAACTTTTGTTGCTAAACTTTAGCCTAGCATGGAGTGTTTGGATTCATGACAAAAGTTTAGTCATTCATCCTAAAATAACTGATTTGCCCTCATTTATTAAGCCATGGGAGAGAGGGGGGCACAGGTGGGTAGGTGGGGGCTATCTGGTGTCCCTCAAAACGAATAGTAAATGGGCAAAACTTCAGTCCACCCCATTTGCTCACTTTTAGCCCACATGTTTGGATTCACATGGCAAAAAAATAGGCTAAAAGTGCAGGACTAAAGTTTTACCATGGAATCCAAACACCCCTTAATGGTACATATGTGTCTTTTGGAATTGGTTATCCCATGCTTTTATAATCTGGTTTCTTTGTTTTAATTAATATATTGGAGGTTTTTTAAGAAAAAGCGAGAACATGTGTTCCAACGCAAACGTGTGCCGGTGTGCGTGAGAGCATACACACATCTATCCAAAATTGCATGGGCTTAACCGGTGGACTCCATCAGGCTTGAACCGGAACGGGATGAGCTGCAGACGGCGGTGGCTCAACTACGTGAGGGCAGTGACGGAGTAACAAATTCTGAGGGGAGTGCATTTGTTTTTTAGGTGCATATATTTTTCGGAAGGGCTAGCGCGCGAACGTCCAGACGCACCTCCCACGCCCCGCCCAAAATATAGAAGTGAGCCCCTCCCGCGTCTAGCGCCATGCGTCCCGGACGCAGCACCGCCGCCTGCATCACATCACGCCCCCGCCCCGCATACCATCCTGCTCCAGTGCTGCCGAACTCCGCGTCCAGGTCGAGCTCAAACTACCGCGGCGAGATGGAGGGAAGGGAAGGGATGGGAGGGAGAGGAGAGGAGAGGGCAAGGTGCGCCGCGCGAGGTAGGAGCCGAAGCCCTGCGACAAGCTGCTGTCTGCCAGCCATCGGCGTCATTACAACATGTGCAACACCCGTTCTACTTTTGAAACATTCAGATGAAACATTTGCAACATATATCTGAAGATAGATGAAACACTTAAAACATGCGTCTGAAACACTTGCAAAAACACCTGAAAACACTTGAAAAGCCACTACAAAACATAGCAACATCTAGATAAACCGCTTGCAACATATGTGTGAAACATATGCAACATCCAAAGAAACACATTGCAACATACATCTGAAAAAAATAAATGAAACATTTGAAATAGACGCTTGCAACATACATGTATAGCCGTTGCAACATATGCAACATCCTGATCTACTTTTCCAACATCCATATGAATTGAAACACTTGCAACATACCTCTGAAACTGTTGAAACATACGCTTACAACATGCGCTTTCAACAAACCCTGGCAGACGGGTGGGCGGGCGGAGCACTGCACAACGGGATTCAATAGTCGCTCACACCCACAACTCTATATGTAGCACCGCCCTTACCTGAGGCCGGAGGTGCGGCGCCATCGCGATAGCATGACGCTGGAGGAGGAGACGGTTATCTGGGAGCTCTATGCAAGTGTGGGGACTGGGGAACAAGTGCGAAAGGAACAAGGATGTCACCTAGAGGGGGTGAATAGGCTAATCCAAAAATTTACAACTTAAAATGCAGAACTATTGGAATAGGTTTCCAAATCAGAGATCAAAACCCCTCTTGAGTTAAAACATTGAGTACAAAAAATACCACAGAGGTAAAGAAGCCATCACCACCACCCTACAAACACAAACTGATTAATCACATAAATGCACAAATGCAGTTGGACCCTGCAATACCGGATGCTCCAGTATGCAATACGAGATGGTCCGATATTCACGGGCCATGGAAGTTCCTTGGTAAACTTCTTTCTCCTTGGATCCAAAGGTGCAGGCAGTTCTCAGAAGCTAAAATATGATTATATCCTGCACACCAAAGATCCGAGTAGATCTAAAGAGATACAAATATAGCAATTCAAATGCTAGGAGACACAAGATTTGTTTTACCGAAGTTCGGGCTTCCACATGAGCCGTGTGTCCCCGTTGAAGAAGTTGTGAGTCACCTAACAAAGGTCTACTCTAGCTAGGTCTCTTTCAACCACTCTCCTTGATCCACTAAGCTTGATCTCTTCCTTTGCGGAGGCGAGATCAGGCCCTCACAAACTTGCTGAGGCACACCACAATAATCCTTGGTTGCAGTGCGGCGACTCCTAGCTATCTAGGAGCGAAGCTCCAAGAGTAACAAATTTGAATCACGAGATCCTTGACATGCCACGAGTGTTCAAGATTTTGCTTGCTCTTAATTTCTCACAATTTTGAATCTTATTGAACCCACCACTTGCATTTTGCACTAAGGATTGAAACACACAAAGAGAGGAGTGGGGAGTGTCTCACAAGGCTTAGAATGTCTATGGGAAGCACCAGAATCAGCAGCCCTCAAAAGAGAGGGCTTGGGGGTATTTATAACCCCACTCTCAAAACTAGCCGTTTTCTAGCCATTGGATCTGCCCGATATGTCATACCAGACCCTCCGGTATGAACTGGTAGTCCACTTGTTAGCTCACAAGGTTAACCTGCGCACAATGTTGGAACTTCCGACACAAGCACTTGCGCTCAACAATGGAACTTTCGACAAACATCGAAACTTCCGATGGATATTGCACACAAGCCCAAAAGGGAACAATACTTTGGGGTTCATACCGGACCCTCCTATATGCCGTACTGGACCCTCCGGTATGGCCCCCATCAACACACCAAGTTAGCTCCAACTGACCCTCCTCTCTCAAACCTCACATGGGTTAACTTGAGCACTGTGAACCAGTGAACTATCAACATGTTGCATCCCTCTTAATAATACGGTATATCTACCAACTCAAGTTTAAATAAAAAGCGAACTCAAACCACTTGAGCTTCCAAATTAAAATCAGCCATCATGATTATCATCGCCTTAGCCCTTCTTTTTCTCATTATCATCGCCGGTTCGTCAATGGTGAAATCGGCCTTGATGAAACTTATTTTTTTTAGACCAAACGGGCACAAAACTGTGTACCAATTCTATTAATATAGAAGGAAAATGATGAGACTTATTATTACTATTCGTTTTCACCGTCAAAGGGTAAAACTGACGGTGAAGTGATTTCACACTCGGTTCGCGTGCCCTTAAAACCGGCTTGTTCGGCTTTTTTTCCATCCGGAACAGTGCTTTTCTCTCATAACATTTCATCCAAAAAATTGTTTTTCATCCAATTTCATCCGGAATTCCTCCAGCCGAACGGGGCCTTTTGTGAAAAGTGATTCCGCCCGTGACCATCCAATTTAATTGGACTTGTATAGGAACCCATAAAACGTGCACGTCTCAGTCGACATATATCCATCCATCCATGCTGATCCGCCCGGAGCTGATGATGAGCTGTGGAACTCCTCATCCGCCTCCGGAATCCGGATCGGGCAGGTGGCCTACCCAGCTCCAAGGGTTGGCTAGGCTAGGCGGCGTCACTCTTCCGTTTCAGGCATGCAATCGCACGAGGCTCCCGCCCCCGCTAGTAACATGCACAGTGCCCATCATTCCAGGCACCAAAGATGTGATCGAATCGAGCGATGCGAGGCTGGCAGGCTAGGAGAGCTACGCCTACGCATTTGTATGGGATAGGGGCATAGGGCGCTATGCACGTGGCGATCATGGGAGCAGATGAGGAGTCACCGCGCGCGCCGATCCGTCGGGCACCGAAGGCGACAGCCTACGCGTGCTATAATACTTTTTAACTTTGTTTTCAGCAGTATTTTTCTTATACAATAAATTAGCCGAAACAATATTTTAACTTATTTTTTTACGAAGTGAACGGAGCCTATGCTACTACTATCGGATACGATCACTGACACGTGCTGCGCTTGCATGCACGAGCTAAGATTACAGGCTTACAGCTGTGCTCTTCATTCCACTGGCATGCTGCGAGAAGGAGTGTTCATCTCATCCGATGCTATCTAGTACAGTACTGTACAGTAGTTCTGAGTTCACACACACACCCAAAAAAAAAAAATTGACTACTACACAAGATATATACGACAAACAAAAGTCTTGTTTCGTCCTAATATTAAGAACTTGAATTGGCTAACTCTTTTTTGGGAGGATTGGCTTGGATAATTCACAGCTGATAGCTAACTACAACAATTGTAGTTCAAGCTTTTCTGCGGTTGATTTGTTATATAATTACCTGCCTTAGCCCTCGAATACAGTGCATCACGACTTCTAAAAGTTAAACTTCCATTTTTAGACTGACAAAGTTTATTAAAAGGAAAACTATTATAAGAAGGAACATTTTAATTAGGTTTAATCTATGGGTACTTGTGTTATTTAATTATTCTTAAGTTGTGTTAAGTTTTTTTGGAATGCAGTGTATTACAGGACAGATATAGTAAAAAGAAAACTAGGGTTAGAACGATCTCGTACTTCTTCCCTATGTGATATGTGGTTTCGAGTCAGCTTAGGCTATGTTTCGTTTGGCTTCTAGGAAATGCTTCTGCTGTTAAAAAGCAAAACAACAACTAAACAAGTAGAACCTGAAGCTGTTTTTCTAAAAACAACTGCTTGTATGTAGTATAATTTTCGCAGCACTTAGACCTTCCTTAATAATGTGCTGCGAAGTGATGCTAGAATAGAGAGAAGATTGGAGCATCACTCTGCACACTGCAAATACTGATGTGCCAGAAGCTAGGAAACGGAGAGCGGCGCAAGTTGAGGATTCGCTTCCAATTTAGTAAACAATAATTGTTTGTACCGCAGAACAGAGAGAAAGAGCAGAGAAGTGGCATGCACGATAGAACCGTGGAGAGAAACAACAGCGTGTGGTGGGCCCCCAAAGTGATACTTCCCGTTGTGGCATTAAGAGAGAGGTTCCTATTTTTATAGGTAGGATCTATTTTTTTTGGCATCATCATACCGTCGAAGGCATTAGACTCTATTTTTAGCTTTCAGCTTTTCCAAATAGATAAAAATAGATATAATTTCTCTGTCCTATAATATAGTGCATTTAAACCTGGCTTGATCCGCTTATTTTTTTCATCCGGAACAATGTTTTTTCTCACAAATTCCTCCAAATTCCTCCAAACCATCCAGATTCCTCCAGAATTTAGACAAGTGAACAGGCCCAAAAATTAAGACAACTTAAAGGAATTCTCAAATGACGCATGTACCCATAGATTAATACCGATTAATGTGTTTCTCCTCAAATTATGGTTTCTTTTTTAGTAAACTTTGTCAAATCTAGGTATTAACACCGGTAGAATGTACTATATTTAGTACAAATTTTAGAAGTAACATTACATTATATTTCGGGGCGGAGGAAGTATGTTTTACAGCTGTTTCAAAGGAGATAAAGAAATATAATATGTTTTATAATTGTTTTAACCAAACAGCTTATAGTTTTTCATAAAACATAGTTCACTGTAGTTTTTTCACAGTTCTGTTTATTACTCAAGCACAACAGACTCGTATACCACTTTTGGTTCCTCGCGGGGCCACGTCATCGTTTAATCCTGTTCCTCCAATCTCCGATCTATCGGCTGAGATCACTTGGAGCGGCTTTCATCGGGAGCAGCTTCTCAGCTTCTCGTGGTTATTTTTTTCTCTTGTCCTGCTTCTGCCACTTTTGTTCCTCGCGAGGCCACGTCATCGTTTAATACCGTCCGTCAGACTTTTACGCGTGCTTCCGCAAATGGAAGCGCCTCAAAACGAAAGCAGCCTTTCTCCTTTCCCAATCGAGAGCCAGGCTTTGCACTTCGCGGTACACAGGCCGCAACTGCAAGGCAGCCGTAAACAAGAGCATGTGCGTGACAACACGTACACGCGTACCGATCCGCCGCACCGGCCGGCGCGCCTATATAACCACCGGCGCCGAACGATCTACTACAGCGCACCAAGACCAAGCCACCAATCGCGGGGTTGTTCAAATCACATCACAAAATCACATCACAAAGAAGCGATAGATGACTAGCTCGACTACGAGGGTGGCCAGCAGGTCGTGCGGCCGCGGCAGCGGCAGCGACGATGAGCCGGCGGTGCGCAAGGGGCCGTGGACGCTGGAGGAGGACCTCACCCTCGTCAGCTACATCTCCCAGCACGGGGAGGGCTCCTGGGACAACCTCGCGCGCGCAGCTGGTAAGCTAGCCTCGATCCACCAATTCCGGCCATTCCTTTGCATGCATGCTTTCATAAGCACAACTTGATTAATTTCTTGATTTATCCAGGCCTGAACCGGAACGGCAAGAGCTGCAGGCTGCGGTGGCTCAACTACCTTCGGCCGGGGGTGCGGCGCGGCAGCATCACGGCGGGGGAGGACACGGTGATCCGGGAGCTCCACGCGAGGTGGGGGAACAAGTGGTCCAAGATCTCCAAGCACCTCCCCGGCAGGACCGACAACGAGATCAAGAACTACTGGAGGACCAGGATCCAGAAGAAGAAGCCGCAGGCAGCCAAGCCGACGACGTCGACGCAGCAGCAGGAGCCGTCGACGACCGTCAGCTCCGGCACCAGCTCCGGCGCCGCCGGGGACTACTACTGGTGCACCAAGCCCGACTCCGATCTTCAGCAACAGCAAGCGTACTACTGCCAGAAAGCCGCCATGGCGGCAGCTGCGACGACGAACGCGGTCGTCGTCAGCAGCGAGGGCGCGACGTCGCCGGCGGCGCTGACGAGCCAGGACAGCTCCACGGCGGCCGGAGACTGGTACACGTATCAGCAGACCACCTACCCCTACTGCTCCGAGCTGAGCTTGGTCGCCGGCAGCCACGGTGAAGCGGCCGGTCTGGACGCTCTGACGATGCAGTTCTTGTCGTCGCACTTCACTGCCAGCTTTTGGACCAATGGTGTGGACGATTTCTGGGAGACCAAACCGATTACGGATGCATTCTGAAGTACTTATACATCGTGCTTACTTCTGATACTAGCTAGAACGGACAAGAAAAGGGAAGAGTATATATTGATCGATACTATAGAACTATAGAAGCCTTATATATATACCTTGTACTATAGAGAGTACTTTATGTGTGATGCTTGATATGACGATCTCACTTTGTTTTTCATTATTGTGGTTCTTGCATTGGATGAGGTTAAGCTCCTCTGCAGTCTGCACTTCTGAGTTGACTTTTTGATCGAGTAGCACGTTCAGTATATATACAAGTGTTTCATATGTGTACGTAGCACCTGCATTCTGTACATCTGAGTTCTTATAGGAGTATTATGCAGTACTAGTCGAATGAAACTCCATATCATATATCCATGGTCATCGATTCATGGAACCACGATAAAATGATGCTCTTGTTGGCTTGTTGCTAGCATTTGTTGAGTGAAAAACTGAACATGGTTTCTGACCACTCTGAAATCGTCAACCATAGGGATCGAGAGATGGACCTCTCGCCTCGCCCTCGTGCTCACTGTCGTCTCATACCGTGCTGGCTGAAGATAGAGCTGCCAGCTGCCCCAAGAGAATCTATGGCCGCTGCTTCAATTCAATTCAATTGTTAGGCGAGCGGCGAGCAGAGTGCTCATCTGGCCGTTCTTTTCCTCGTCACGATGTGTCAATGTCACGTGCCTTAGCTAGTCTTTTTCTATCCCAAGTTTCCCAGTTGGTGATGGAATGCACATATAGCCAGATGTAGAAGTGGGCATCCGGCATTTCGGGAGCTATGCTTGAAACAGGAAACTCGGCACGAGGGTAAACTAGAGAGGAGTGAGTGAGTGAGTGGCTGAGGAGCTCTGTGATGATTGTATAGGTGCTCGATCGAGCTGTCCGTCTCCAAGAACAAACAAGTGCACGCACATGCGTCTGCCCTAGACCGGCCGCGTGCAGGAATTGAAAAGCAGACTAGGTTGCAATTGCAACAACAAGTGGAGGTGAGCGTTCGCGTCATCGGTTCGATTCTTCTCTCACCTTCAGGGCTTCTTAATGAAATACAGCGCGCGTTCTAAAAAATAAGGTAAAGTACATTTTTTAACCACCACTTCGCATTGAAGTTCGATTTTCAACCTTCAACTATGAAACCGGGTAACAGACACCCTCCAACTGTTAAAACTGGACAAATTTGGTCGTCGGCCTGTTTTAAAAGCGGTTTTTCTATTTTCTAATAATAATAAAAATCTGGTTCGATCTCTAAAAGTTCATAATTAATTTATTTTAAATTATAAAAGTATATAGGTTTTTCAAAGAGAACCAAGCACTTGTCATGTGTGTGCCTAGAAAGTCCACACGTACAACAACAGAATAGAAAATATCAGAAACAATGTTATATAGTGGAAAACATATTTATATTTAACACTTACAACTATCAGACTAATGAGAAACGACTGCTATTCTTCTTCTCGGGCTCCATTCTTCTTAGGGACGGCTGACTGGGGCTCTGTACGCCAAGCACTTCTAGTAGCCTACTGGAAACTCCACAACAACTTTGTGCTTCTTCTGAGCAGCTTTTGCTAACAGACTGGAGGTGTAGGGGGAAATAGCAAGGGTGAGTCCATGTCAAACTCAGTATAGGCGGAAAGTAAATGACATGCAAGGCTATTACAAAAGAAAGGCTGACTCTATTTAACTGCGATAAGCATTTTTAGTTGGCAAAGTTTTATTTGAACAACTTGATTACTATGGTGAGTAAAAGAACCCAACCCATTAGTTAAGTTGCATAAGAGATTAATCAATATTAAAGGTAGCCATCTTCAACAAGATCCAGCACGCATCTACTGCGCATAACCAACATCTGAAGTAGCCACTTCCAACAGAGGATCCGCCATTATCATTGAGACAACCATCATACGAGGAAGTCACCTCCAACAGATATCCATCTGTCCAGATAATCCATCAACTTCCATAAGAAATCCAATGCTCTAATCATGTGAGGGTCTAGGCCGCTCGTATCCGTAAGCACGGCTGATATATCAGTTTTACACTCTGCAGAGGTTGTACATTTTCACTTTAAGTCGTGACCCCCATATGCCCGGGTTAATTACTCCCAAAGCACTCCCAAGATGAGCAGGTAGGGTTTCACTACGAGACTGTTCACATGTTCTAACTAAAAGAGTGCAACCCGTAAGGTTTTGCCTAAGCGCCCGGCAGCTGTCCCCATAGCCATGGGACCCGGACAACCACAGTCTTAATCTTATTACCTAGTTTCCTGTCTTACGCCTACCCAGTAAGCCGCACCCTACTAGTAGAGGTCCTGTTAATACGTCAAGCCAGAGCCATATAGCTTGAAGCTGTACGGTAAGTCCCAGGTGGCCGCTCCACGACCCGAGCCAACATCATATCATCATCATTGCCAACATCTCCTCATCAAACTCATCTCCATGAGCCATTAACCAGTATCACATATCATATATCATATCCAGTATCAACATATATTTTGGCCCTGTGTGGGTTGGAGCAACTAAGCAAGTCTACCCATTTATAAACCTAGGGTGCAAGGATGGAATGCAAAGACTAGGCAAGTCCTTAGGGCTCACAGTATTAGACACATGCATGAAAAATAAATGTAATTAGGTAAGTTATTAGGTAAACAGTATGATCAAAGGGAGCCTGCACTTGCCTTTTTCCCAGAGTTTAGCTGCTCAGAAGTCTTCAGCTTCTGCCTTCTGGTCTTTAGCTTCTGCTTCACCTGTCAGTCCTCAGCTCCTGGTCTTCAGCGCTAACGAACCACGCTTTCTCTACGCGTAGCAACCAAGCAACACAAACAGACAAACAACATGCACAACTAAGAACAGACATCAAACAAAAGAGACGCTTGAAAAGAGTGCACCAAACGGCATGGCTTGCTGCTACGGTCACGAGGCACAAGAACGACTAAGAACGGAGCTATCATTAAAAGGACACGACTATCGAGGTGTTTGCAACATAACGAAGAAGACAGACTATAAGCTAGGTTCATTTTAGTTAATGAAATAAGGTGATGGATATCGCAGAGAAATATCCCAAAGTGCAAGTAACCAGATCTATTAAATTATTAAAGTCGGAGTTAACCGTAATCATATTTTATTTTTAAACATTTCTATAATATTTAGGTCATTTAAACATTTATATTTTAGAAAACATAAAACATGCGAGAGCAACTAATCGAATCATTTCATGTTTTGAGGTTGATCTAAGCATGTCATAGTTAAAAAGGCATTCATGTTGATATTAATCATGTTAACACTTATTTATAAAAGATCGGGGATTAAACCCTAAATTGCTTTTAATTCAAAAGACATCAAGTAAACATTAATCAATTTAATATTTATGTTGGAATTCAAAAGCATAGAACAAGGTAAATGTTGCTGTTAACACGTAGCTTACATCGTTACGAAGCTAACGCAACAAGAACGGGTTTAAACGGAGCTAAGACGCGCAAGTTATGGCTAAAACTAGGTCTAGGGACTTATCTACGAAGAAACACTAAATTCAGGGCCTAACAGATAAATTTGGGGGCCTAAACATAATTAAACCAAACTACTGAGGGCTAACTCGCAAAACCGACATGGCTTGGACGACGGGTTCGATATTCTAAAAGCTTAGGGGCTAAAACAGAAAAGGTAGGGGCCTAATTTTAATTACTTTTGAACTACAGTGGACCGCGGGTTAGTTTTTATAAAACGCAGGGGTGCTTATGCAAAACCGGTAGGGCTGACCTGGGCTTTGAGCAGTTGACTTGTCAGTGCTTGCGTGGCGCTGATGTGGTAGCCACATCAGCTGCTGACGAGGCACGGTTGACCTCGGTTGCCTGGGCTCCAGATCGAATCTGGGCCGTCGAACCGAGATTAGACGGCACAGGATGGGCTCAGCTAGGGTTGACTAGCCGGCGGGGCGGTCAGCGTGAGTTGCGTGGTGGCACGAACATGGATGCCGGCCAAAGATCGCCGGCAAGCGGCGGTGCGGTCGCCATGGGGCCATAGAGCCTACGCGACCTGCACGGAGAGAGAGCGTGGGATGCCAAACTCGGCGGGGCTGGTTTGGGTCACCGGGGCAGAGTGGCGGCGGCTATAGGGCTAGGCCGAGCAATGCAAGGGCATGGGAAGGTGGAGCGCAGCCTTGCTAACTCGGCCACGGGGTTCACGACGACGTATGGCGGCCGAAGGTGACGGCGCACGCTGCGCGGCGGATCGAAAACGACGGCGCTCCTATGGCGAACTAATCGGCGCAAATGAGAGCAAGAGGGAGGGCAAGACAGGACCGGTAGGATCCTCACCTACGTGCGAAGCTCAGGGATGCTGTATCGTTGATGGAGATGATGCGGCGGCAAAAATCGATGATGGCGCACCCAAGCGCGACGGCGTCAGCTATGGCGGTTGGCGCTGCTAGGGTTCAAGGTAGCGGCGTGGGCTCTGCTGGGGTTCCAAAGCGGCATGACGTACTAGGGCTAGGCCCTTTATAGTTGGCAGGGGTCCTCAGGGTGTGCGCTTAGGCTCGGCGGTGATGGCACCCGCCTGATGCGAAGGTTGGGGACGACGGGGGCTCCCGCTGACATGAGGGGCCTGTGAGTCAGTGGCTTAGGTCGTGGGAGCATTGAGCGGCTAGGCTGCTGCGTGGGTTTGCAGCTTGTGTGCGACGCTGGCCAGGCTGGCTGGCTGGCTGTGGCCTGGCCAGGGTTGGCTGCGGCCGGCTAAGGCAAGCTGTGGCTAGCTAGGTGCAAGCCATGGCTGGTTGGAGTGGCTAGGAGCTGGCCAGGGTTAGTTAGAGTGGGCTAGAGTTAGCTAGGGTTAGGTTGAAGCCCATAAGGAGAAAGAAAACCAAAGAAAATGTTTTCCTTTCTAAATAAAAACGGATTTTGAAATAGAGCTTTTAAAGTTTTGTTTTTGTTGGCATTTCTTAGCATCACTTGTTACTAGGTTGTCATCCCTAGCATAATGCCAGAAATGCGTGGTTGGTAATTATTAATGATACTTGTAAAC